AACACATCTCGAAGAACAGTAACTATTTTTTATTCTTCGAGTGCTTGCTCATGTCCTTACAAAGTAGGTGACTCCCAAGCAGTTGCGCAGGTGGAGGGTTCAGAGTTCATACTAATGGTAATACCATTCAGTCGAAACCCGCATTGTCTCTCACCTGCTGGGTGATGGCGTAATGAGATGCAAAAGTGTGGACTGATGATCATGTTGCCGCTCTACAGATGTCCTGGATAGGAACTTGAACCACAAATGCCGCTCAAGATGCTTGAGCCCTTGTAGAATGTGCCATCATGGCAGGAGGAGCGGGGACCTTTGCCAGGTCATAGCGTGCAGATACAGGAAGAGAGCCACAATGACATTCTCTGGGCCAAGACTGGAAGGCCTTTCATTCTGTCTGCAATGGCTACAAAAGCTGAGTAGATTCTTCTAAAAGGTTTAGTCCTTTCTATGTAGAAGGCTAACACACATCTAACATCCAGTGAGTGGAGTCTGTTCCTCCCTGTTAGTATGTGGCTTCTGGTAGGAAGATATCCCAGTTATTATGGAATTGGGAGACCACCTTTGGAAGGAAGGTCGGATGTGGCTGCAATTAAACCTTGTCCTTGAAGAAGAGTGTATAAGATGGTTCTGAAATAAGGGCTCAGATCTCCGAGACCCTTCTGGCAGAAGTAATGGCCACCAGGAAGGCCACCTTCCTGGATAAGTAAAGCAGAGAGCACATTGCCAGCAGTTCAAATGGAGGTCCCGTTAGCCTTGCCAACACAAAGTCCTGTCCTCCAGGTGGGGTTGGAACACTTGGCAGGCTAGGCGAACTGCTCTGAGTTCTGAGGGAGCGCCCACCCCCCATCCCATTGCTGATGTGTCTGTGATGAGAGACATTGATGGTTGAGGTCTCGAGAATGGGATTCCTGCACATACTGCCCATGGGTCTAACCACCAAAGGGTGGCGATCACCGAAGAGGGAATTGTGACAACCATGTCTACAGGTGGCGTCAGGCTAGCATGTATACCAATGCCAGCCAAGCCTGAAGAGGTCTGAGCCATAAGCTCGCATGCTGCACCACGTAGGTGCATGATGCCATATGTCCTAGGAGCTTTAGGCAGTTTCTTGCAGTGGTGCTGGGATGATTTCTGAGGCTCTCTTTGAGGACCACAATTGCTCAGAACCAGGTTTCCAGGAGGAAGGCTGTGCCCTGAACCAAGTTGAGGATCACCCCCAATGAATTCTATCTTCAGAACTGGGGAGAGAGAGTAGACTTCTGCATATTTATCAACAGACCTAAGTCCTGGAAAGTTGACTGTATTAAATTTACATTTGACTCCAGCTGAGCCTTGGTCCGACCTCTGATCAGCCAGTCATGGAGCAAAGGGTAGACCTGAACTCCCTGTCTCCTGAGGAAGTCTGCGACAACTGCCATGCAGTTCGTGAACACCTGAGGGGCAACTGACAGGTCGAATGGAAGCACGGCAAATTGGTAGCGCACGTGGTTCACTATGAATCTGAGGAATCTTCTGTGACCCTGAAAGATTGAAATGTGAAAATAAGCATCCTTCAAATGGAAGGCAGCATACCAGTCCCACCCAGGGAAGGGATGATGGAGGCCAAGGAGACCATACAAAATGTCAGCTTCTTCATGAATCTGTTGAGGTGTCTCAGGTCCATAATCCGTCTGAGACCACTGTTGGCTTTTGGGATTAGGATATAATGGGAGTAGAACCCCCGGCCCCTTAATTCTGGTGGGACTTCCTCCACTGCTCCTACTTCCAGGAGTTGCTCGTGAGAAGGGTCCCTGAAGGAAGGATGGAGGGTGGGGGTGGAAAGGAGGGGAACAACTGAATTGAAGGGTGTATCCCAGTGCTATCGTGCGTAGCACCTACCGATCCGAGGTAATGCAGACCTATGCTCGATAGAAGTGGGATAACTGGTCCACAAAAATGGGGGAAATGAGATCCATATATTGTCCTGGTATGTCATCCCTGCGCATCCCATCAAAAGGCCTGCTTAGACCTTATTGATTGCCTGGGACGGGGGCAGGCATGGAAGCAGATGAGGACTGAGGTGGAGGTCTCCTCTTGTAACCTCTGCACCTTCCCTTACTATAGTCTTGTCATGACTGTGGCAGATAGAAGCAAGCAACCAGTTGGGGCTTATAGTGCTTCCTCGTTGGATCCGGTGTATGTAGCCCTAGGGACTTCAGGGTGGCTCTTGAGTCCTTCAGGCTGTGCAGTTTGGCGTCTGCTCCGAGAAGAGGAATGTACCCTCAACGGGGAGGTGTTGTAAGGGCTTCTGCACTTCATATAGGGTAAGCCCAAGGACTGAAACCAAGAGCTTCTCCTCCGCACCACAGCCAAAGACATGAGTCAGGCTGCAGAGTCTGCTGCGTTCAAGGCTGCCTGTAAGGATGCCCTTGCCACCAATTTTCCTTCCTCAAATAGGGCTGATAATTCGTTCCTGGACTCCTCTGGCAATAGTTCCTTGAATTTTGCCATAGAGTTCCAAGAATTAAAATCCTAACAGCTCAGGAGCGCTTGCTGGTTTGCAATCCTGGGCTGGAGGCTAGCAGTTGAACAGACCTTTCTGCCAAAAAGGTCTAATTTTTTGGCATCTCTCGTCTTGGGAGTTGGACCTTGCTATTCTCTCTTGTTGGCCGCTGATACCACCAATGATCCTGGTGGAGGATGGGTGTAGAGGAACTAAGTACTACTTCTCCCTCCTTTTTGCTGTTGGTTGCAGGGATCCTGGGGTCTGCCCTAAGGCCTTTATTGGGTCCAAAATGGTCTCATTCAAGGGCAAAACTACTCCTGCTGGGTCTAATGCCCCAAGAATGTCCACCGGGACATGGGAGGACTCTAATCTCCTGTACCTGGATCCCTGGGTTTTGAACTACCCTTTTGAGGCACTCCTGGTGCTCCCTATAATCTTCCTGGGAGGGTGCTATATTTGTTCCCGCCACCGCCTCATTGGGAGAAGAAGTGGAAGCCTGTACAGGCAAGGGGTATTGTTCCTCCCCCTCAGCACCAGATGGGTCTTGCGGTGCCGGATCTTGAAATTCAGCACCAGCTTCAGTACCAGAACCTGGTCCCTATTTCAAGGGAAGTGACGGTGGGGGTAGAGGCTTCTGCAACTGCGCTGGTGGCCAGGCTACCGGTGGAATGCCCTGGCTCATGTCAGCCGTCAGGTAACGCAGACCAGAGCAGTGTCGGCTCCTGAGAGAGGCGGACGCCACCTCTGAGTCCAACTCCAAGGAGATGCTTCCTGGCGACCAAGGTGAAGTGGTGCTCACTGATGCCAGTTGAGCAGTGCCAGGAGGGAGGAGACTGGTGCTGTGCCATCGTGGCCCCTTTCGACAGCACCTGAGGTCAGTGCCATGGGAGCTCTTGCCTCTTGTGCCACCACTGACAACTCCCAAATGGTGGGGACGGTGGTATTGGGAGCGACGGCTCCTCCCTTGCTGCCTCTGGCGTGGATGGTAACACCAGGGTAGTTGTCCAAGGGCTCTCTCTTGTTGGAGAGTTCGAAGGTGCCAGACTCAACGGAGCCCTTCCGGGGGCTGGAGTCAACAGCACCAACTGTACAGCAAGTATCTCTGAGTGGCCCGGCATGGATCATATTCTGCCAGTATCTCTGTGTTGGGGATCACCCCTGGTCAGTTTTCTTCTGCTGCTTTCTCGGCACCGGCCGAGAGTCCCTTGCAGGAGTGTTCATGTTTGGTACCAGGGATGACTGTCGGGGCCGGGAATACCAAGAAGCCCAAGGAACGTCTTTCCTTGGCGCCAGAGCAGAACAGCATTGCATCTGTCTAAGAGAAGCTGGTGTGCTTCTTACTGAGGCCAAAGTACTTGGTGCCAAGTTGTCCTGGCCTGGCTCTGAGGGAGGAGGAAGTACCACCTCCATGAAGAAGAGCTTAAGCCTGGTATCCCTGTCTGTCTTAGTGCAGGGCCTGAATCCTTTACAGATCCTGCAGCGCTCCTGCACGTGGGCTTCCCACACACACTTGCGGCAGCTGGAATGGGGGTCACTAACCAGCATCAGCTTATGGCATGACACACACAGCTTAAACCCCAGGGACTGAGGCATGCCCCAGTGCTGGGGGAGAGCTAACCACACTAAGCACGGTCCACTAATCTAACTAACTTACTAACAAACTAACTGAAACTTAACCACTACAAATAACTATGTACAGGCAATAGAACAAAGTCCACTGACAGAGGTACTTGCAAGGATGAGCTGAAGTTCCAATGACTCACGGGTGGTAAGAAGGAATTGAGGGGGTGGCAGGCCCCTTTATACCAGTGCTATGAGCACACGACTCCAGGGGGCACCAGAACTAATCCGACAGATGTCACTGAGGGAAGAACTTTCTGGCGGCTCTGCTCGGGGCAAGTACTCACCTACTTTGGAATGGACATGAGCAAGCACTTGAAGGACGAGAGATTTGGTACTAACAAATGTAAAGCCCTCCCCCCTCCCTCAGGAAAAAGAAATGTCATACACAGATACAAGATAGGAATGGACTTAAGCACTCCCCCATTACACTAAAGCAAGTCTCTTTTTATCTTGTCCTTCTGTCCTAATATTACTTTTCATATAATTGAGTACTATATCACGGGGGGGGCGCGCTAAGGGGAGAAACTTTCATAATGGAATTTCTAGCCTAACGAGGGTCCGTAATATGGAAATGTAAGAACCAGTATAAGGTGGTAAATAAGGATAAATGTGCTTCACTCTAACATTGAGAAACTCTTACAGCTATAGAAAATGTTAGCATCAAGAAGGTACATGGAAGCACCGAAGAATCTCAGAATTAAGAACAGAAATCATTCATGCATATAAATTATGTTAACACTAAATTCAGTAACAAGACAGCAGTGTATTCCAGCTGAATTTAATTTTTACTGCAACCCTCCATCTTCATAAGCCGCTACCTTTTGGGATTGTGCAAGGTTCCCCTGTGTAAGTGTTTAAAGAAAATTAACATGATTTTTTTTCCTTTTTCCTTTAGTCAAAATCCTTTTCTAGTGGCTGCATTTGGTGCTTGTTCTCTTACAAGGCAATGTAACAACCAAGCCTTTCAAAAATGTGGACGTTCAATGACTACATCTGATATGGTTTCAGAAGTTGGAACAGCTTTTAACAAACTTTTTGAAACCTGAAGCCAAAGCAGCAGAGTGGAAGGAAAGGAAGAACAATGGCTACAACAGTAATTACATTTACAGTAGAATATACATAAGTAATGCACCCTTTCAAGTGCTGTAGCAGCATTGGTATGCTAGGTAGTTTTTTTTTTTTTTTTTTTTTTTTAAGAATAGAAAAAATGATTAATGTAGATAGTTTTTTAAGAGTTTGGAATACAGAAAATGTTTTGGCTGAAATATGCTGTAGTTGCAGATCTGTTATATAATATAATAAAACTAAAGTGAAAGTATTCCTCTGTTCTTTTTCATAGTTATTGAGCAATAACTAAAGTGTGTGTGAACTGCAAAAATGCACTTGATACTTAAGAAGAAAGTAAAATTCTTCCACCAGCTGAACTGAATTTCTTGGCTTGCACCAAGGTTGTCATGATTTTGTTATTAGACTCTGTATCTAGAATTAGCTACTGCACTTCATTTTTCTCCACATTAATATTTTTCCCCCTTTTTAAAGATGCCTCTTTGGAAAGGGAAAGCTTGGGAGTTGCTTTCAATTTTGAATGTAATTGGTTGCCTTTGCCCATTCTTAGACACTGAGGCAGCAATATATGATATGAAATTCTTGCTCTTCATTTTTCAGAGAAAATGAGGCTCTCGTTTTAAAAAGTAGAGGAGGGGGAACCCCCTTAAAATAAGGATTTACTCTAGAAGTGTTGGCATGAAAGGTAGGAATTATGTTTAGCTGAAATAATTTACTGTATATTCCATCTACTGCTCTAGACTAAAATTGAATATGGAACACAATGTGAAATGTAATCATTTGAAGAAAAGGTACTAGGTGTGGTGAGGAACTAGTGATATTTAAATGGTCAAAAATGTCAGTGGTGGTAGAAGGTTGAGTGCTTTTATGCCAGCTCAAAACAAGTTATAACTCAAACTGCTGGAGTAGAGCTCTGAGCACATTACTGTATGTATGCATATGTGGCTATTTATTGCCAGCATAAATAATAATTGAGGAGCCAGAAAGCGGCACTTAATTATACGATGTTAGTGCCATGCAGGCAGTCAAATACAGTTAGTCCACTAGGAGACTGTACTGGGCCCAGGGGATAGAAAAAAAGTGGGGATGGTCAAGCCTTGGCTGTAGCAAGGTTTTTAAAGGCTTTTGCTGGATCATCATTTAACAAAGGCAGCACTTTAGTGTCAAGGAGGACAGGTCAGCAGTTCCATGTGTGTCTTGCTGTTTGAGTAGATGCAGGCAGGAATAAATCAGAAGTTGAGAGATTTGTGCAGTATGGGTTTCTTAAACTTCTGGACATGCAGTTTAATATTGGGGTAAAACTAATTTATGGGGGGGAGTCAGAAGTAAATTTCTTGAAGTTTCAGTAAGTACCAACTTACTGTCCTATGGTTTAGCCTATAATCTAACTCAATGTGCATATTCATTAGAGCATAGGGACTAATTTTGTAAACTATCTACTACAGTAATTATTAGATGTTACATATTCATTTAAACCATTTTTCCAGTGGCCTATTTCTAGAATGGAGTTTAGTACCCTATATATTAGTCAGATTGCACTTTCACATCTTGTAATAACTTCCTTCAGTGAACACATTAAATCAGAAAGGCTCTTCTGAGTAGCTCTGGCCCTTATAATTCATATTTTTGGATGCACTGTGACTACTACCTCACCCCCAATGCATTTTTGTTTTTCTTTCTAAACTGGTAACCTATTTTTAAAATAGGTTTTTATGTTTGCTCATTTTATTCTGTTGGGGTTCTAAGACTTTTAAAATTAGAGCAGTTGTTTACTCCTAAGAAAAGGCTTTGCAGTGTTTTACCAAAGCACTGGTTTGTAAACTATTTTCCTGGGGAACAGAAGCTATTGTCGTTTTCTCCCCTTGGAATGACTTTTGAACTCTAATTCCTAAAATCAAAAAGTTACAGTTTTAGAACAGTTGTTGAATTGATTTTAAAATGAGGTTTTTGTATTTGGTATGTAAGAAGTATTATTTCTAAATTACATTTGTAGGGAAAGCCAAATCAAATAAGACCTTTTGGGTTTTTGTTTTTTCAAAATGAAATTGCTTGATATCAGAGGTCAGTATAAATTTCAATTTGCCTTTGTTTTAACTATACACAGAAGTAACTTTGTTATTCACCATTGTATACAAATTGTTACAAGTTAATTTTAAAAGATTCTGGAAATGTAGCAAGTTTCTTTCCATAGGAAATAAAACTATAGCAAATAAAACAAAACTGTCGTGTACTTTATTTGCAGTGGCTTAGTCACACAGCACCCACAGTAGCTGAAGACACTTAGCTGAAGATGATTTATCCTCCGTACCCATTCACTTTTATTACTGACAGAGTTGATACAACTGATAATTTTTATATGAACGGTATCGTGTGTAGAGCTGGCTGAAATGTGGGATCACAAGAAATTTCTAAATTTGATTTTGTTCTGGGGCTCCCGGGTGTGTACCAGGGAGCCTGGAAGCCCTGACTCAAGATGGGTTTCCTGGATGACTTCATTGCATGATAGGACTGCCACAGACCCTGGAAATCCTGTGGTCTCAGTCTGCCAGGGAGCCAGCCAGGTTTCCATTGTAACCCTGCCTGTGATTCAGTACAAGCCTGAACTTGACTCACTTTCATGAGACCCTTTAGCATTTTGTTGAAAAATTTCCAACCAGCTGTGTGTGTGCGCGAGAGAAACTTCCCTGCCTTCTGTGCCAGTACCCAAAAATGGGGCAGGAAAACTGCTTGGTAGTGACCACTGCTTCTCTAGTCAAAGAAATGGTTAAAAAGCAAATCTTTAGCCTTTTGAATACATTAGATTACTTCTGCTGGGACCTGTATTTTCAGAGGAGATCATTGTAGATCATCTAAAGTTACTGTCCCCCTCATATCCTTTCACAAATTGCTTTGTTTAAACACTGAAGAACTCCGTACCGACTTCCAGATAATAGAATTTGAATGTAGACCTTTAACCCTATGCTGCACTACCAGTTACCTAAAGCATCCAGTTTTTTGTTTGAATATGAACGTCAGTACCCTCTTTGGGAGAGGCACACTATCCTTTTGGGATGGCTAGAAAGTATAAAATTCAGTGTAAGCAGCCTGGCTTAAGTATAACAGAAAGCTGGTCTCTGTTCTTTTCAAGTTCTTATATTGCATCTAAATTCTAATTCCAACTCGGCCAATGATTTGCTGCAATGTCTTTGGAAAGTCTATTAACATCCGTTTTCCTTCATCCCCAAAAGTATATACTTCCCTTACAGAGGTGGTGAGAGGATTAACGATTCAGCGAGAGAGGTACTATACACGTTAAGAATTGATTTCTAATGCTGATAGTTCCCGAGCTTTCTCCACTACCATTGTTAGGGAACTGTAACTTATTTTGTGCAAAAGTGAATTAGAAATACCTGTGGCTGTTTCTGATTCAAGGTGCCTGTAAGTTGATAGCATGTTTTACTTAACCTGGTTAAAGGCCTCATAGGCCCTAATCTATGTTATCTGATATGGAAAAAATCAGAAGTTTAAGAATTAGGCTTGTTCTATGCCTGTGAAATGTTAAAGCTTAAGGGCAAGAGAATATTTACCTCCCCCACCACACTTTTCCCTCTATGCCCTGCCCACATTTTGCCCCTGTGGCTGGTTCAGCAAATGGGTGTGGTGAAGCTGGTTGCAAGCACACACTAAGTAGGGATAAGGGAGGGTTTCCAGCAGTAGAATACATTGACTAGCTCCATAGAAAAGTTCCTAGTTGTCTTTTAGTAAGTGGAAGCCCTTCCCACCCTCCTACCAAACCCATTCTTGAAGTGAGAGCTGGTTTCTTTACAGGTTAAAGAAGAACTCAGAGCAACAGTCTACATATTTTAAATGCTTGTTTTCATGGTGTCTGTTAATTGTAACTTTTATATTCCTGAGCCTAGAGCTGGAGGTGCTTATGGGGAATCTCACTGGACGAGACTGAGGTCCTGCTCCTACTTCAAGTTATGCAAGTACAGACCCTTTTTTCCTTGTCTACAGTGGGGAAAAAATGTGTTCTTAATAGGCCCTATGTCGGTGCAGAGTGCTGCAGCACCTTCTCTGAGACTTTACACAGGTCTGCACTAGCAGATTAGGCTATAAAACAGTTTAATATTTTAGAATAGTGTAGCTGAATTTAAAAAAAAACACTTTTTAGAAGAAGCCAGTCCTTAGTTTCTAAATTGCTTATGTTCCTTTTCCCATTAGGATGCTGGCTTCTCTGCCCTCACAAACAACATACTGTTCTGTAAGATCGGCGCTTTCAACATGTCAGCTGCAATTCAACTTTTTATACTGCTGGGCTGAGGAAAATGCAAGCTGTTTCTTTTTTAAAGGAAGCACCTGTAGTTCATCTTTGCCATGACCTGGAATGCCATGGGAGACTACAGATGGCCTAAGTGGCTTACTTATTTATATACTTTAATAGCAGTGTTTTATGGAGGTTTAAATAATGTAGAAGCCTGAGTACTATATAAGTGGGGGAAAAATTCAAAAGCAACTTAAATTTCACTGATAGTCAAGGGGAGAGGGGCCTAAGTCACTTAAAGCACTTCTGCTAATTTTACCAAAAACTATAGGAGTAGTAACCTTGACAGCATCAGATGCTGTCCTGGGGCATCCACTCAAAGAGGGAAGTTGAGAGGGGGGAAAAAAAGCTGTTGGAGAAAAGTCTAGGTGCTGAGCTAGCAGATGAACTGGAGCCTGGGTAGGAAGTCAGGTGCTAAAAGAACAGGATAATAAAAGTAGGGGAGCAGAAAGAAGGAAAATAGAAAAGGTTTCAGCCTAGGAGAAGCAGAAAAAAATAAACGTGGCTCCATGAGCGGACACTCCTGGTGAACAGAAGTAGAGGGAAATAAAATCTACACTATAACAGTACCAAGGGGACAGTAAACAAAAGAAATAAACAATTCTTAGATGAAAACAGTAAATGAGGGACCCACCCACAAAGGGTACATGAACAGGAGAATGACTGTTTGAACTCTGTTGAAGAAATACAGTTCAAAGGTGCCTAATGGACACACAAGGGCCCACTAGGTGAAAAAGGTACAGCCCAAGGAACAGCAGCTGCAAGGAGCACTTCCTTTGGAAGAGAAACAAAGAACAGGACATGGAGCTGGACTTACAGCCA